CTCCCCGAACGCACCGCCAGTCTCACTTCATGCTCTCGTAGAAGATTGTACCTCGTGATTGGTCAATAACCAATACACTTCAAAAAAGGAGCAATTTTATTATATTTCTGTCAATAATATATTTAATGTTGAATGCATTGAAAAGGTGAGCATTATGTAAAAATATGCCTAATAACGATGTGATAATTATTTATTTATCGTATGACGTATTGCGTATTATTAGACGACTACGTATTACGTGTTAACCTCTAATCTAAAGGAGCATACTCCAAATAACTTAAACACAAAATTAAAATATAATAAAATTACATTTTTAATTAATGCAGTGATTAATGTGCAACATGATTATGTTATGTCAGTTATTTAATTTAATTTATATGTTAAAACAATTTGTTTATTAAAGTTATATGTATGTGCGTAATAAAAATTTGAACATTGCGATGTTATAATACACCATAAATACGTGCATATTAACGTAATGAATATACTTTAATCTTTAATTTTATAAATTATTTGAATTATATTGTATTTTACATCTGTATAATGCTAATATAATGTTTAAATTGTTGAACATTATGTTTCATATAGTTTCTGTATAATATCTATATTGAGAAGCGTTTTGTAAAACTTTTTGTATTTTGTTTATAAGTGATAAAATATAAAAAAATATTATTTTAGTTAATTCTGAGAATTTATGCATGGTTTATTACATATGTATATATATAAAATACATATATTTATATTATATACAGGGTATCTCACAACTATTGCATTTCCTCTTAAGAACATATTCTTGAGGTAATTTTGAAACGAAAATCCTAATATAAAAATGTCGAGGCTATATATATATATGTATAAAAATGTATATATGTATATCTATAAAAATTAATGTATCAGTAATTTAATATAAATTTTAGGAGTCTTTATATAAAACATATTACATTTTATATAATGGATGTGTTAGAACCAGAATTAACTTGGGTTGATGGACGCTGCTATAGATTTTACGAAAATACTGCCTGGAAAAACATTCATACATCAGCTCCATATATGGAGGATAAAGAATCAATTTGTTCAAATGATGAATCTGAAAATGATATAGAGATAATTCCTCATGATACATTGTTTAAGCATACTTTTTACGTACCCAAGTGAGAATCATTTTAAATATTATTTTATCATAATAAATATATATATATTATTATATAATATTAGTATTTAATAATATATAAGGATTATTTACTGTAGTAATATAGATTGTACAATAACATAGTAATAATTTATATTTTATCATTTGTTATGTTTTAGAATTTTTTATTCACACATAATTGGTACAAAAGGTATGACACGCAGGAAATTGGAACATGACACAAGAACAACTATTGATATACCAAAAAAAGGAAAAGATGGAAACATTGGTAAAAATCATTCGATATTCCCTTAATTCTGTAGAGCGTATGATGTGCTTGAAGTATAATTTTATCCTTGTTTGTTCAATAAACAACAAAGATAAAATGATTATATATGATGTACATCATATTTTATAGAATGCAAATTAATATAAGAAAAATATGTGAATTGAATAAATTTTTAAATATTATATATTTATTTGTAGTTATTACTGGACGGGAACATAAAGCTATAATATCTGCAAGACATAGAATTGACTTACTAATAGAAGCTTCAAAGAAAAAGATACATTATACACACTTTTTGTCAATCCCATTAAATAAAAAAGAGATAATTGATAAATATATTTCTTTCAAGAATGATATATTGGAGAAGTATTACAAAACTACACACAATATTGATGAATCACTTTTTCAAAATCCATCTAAATTACACCTTACCATTGGTATGCTTAAATTATTTGATGATAATGAAAAAAAGCATGCTATCGATGCTCTCACAAATTGTAAAGAAAACATTATAGAGTAAGATATATCTGACTTTATACAATAGCATATTATGTATAATTATTCTCGCAAAATTAAATTATATGATATTAATTGAATTAATATCATATAATCTAGTTTTGTAATTACATATTACAGTATCATAAATATGATAGATTATAACTATTTCAAAAGATGCTTAAATAATTACATAATCTATTACAGTCCTATTCTTGAAGAAACAGGGCCAATAAATATACAGTTACAAGGAGTTGCATGTATGAATGATGATCCTACTGATGTTAAAGTTTTATTTGCACAAATTGCATCTAACGAAAAATTGCAAGAACTCGTTGATAAAGTTGCTGAATACTTTATTTATATAGGTAAATAATATATTATATATCTTATATAGAATTGAATATCTTTGAAATACATTTTGTGCAATTTTGATCAAAACAGTAATTATGTTAACTTTTTTGATTATATAATTTTATAAAATATATATTTTTATTAATATTAACTGTAATATCTCGTTTATATCATTGTTTAATTTTTAATTTTAGGTTTAATGGAAAAAGAATACGAAAAAATAAAATTACATGCTACTTTAATGAATACAGCATTCAAAGATTCAACAAGGTTTAAAGAAAGATATGACGCAAATGAAATATTAAAAGTAATAAGATTTATAAATTGGATTTATCTCTAATATTTGCTATAAAATTGATAATATAAAAATAATTACGCTTATTTCATATTTTAGGTATATAAGGATACACCGTTTGGAAAAACAATATTAAATAAGATTGATATATCTGAACTTCATACTGCTACCAAAGACGATTATTATAAATCAATAGGTAGCATTACTTTTTAAGTACAGGGATATGTGCTATAATTATAGTAATGACCTCTTTTTATTAAAAAAAAAGTAAGTTAGAAAAATCTACTATATCTACAGCGCGCACGCACGCACACACAAGCAGAAGTATATGTACATATAATAATAATATTTTCAATAGTCTATTTTGTTTTTGTTTTGTTTAATGTTTTACGTATTATAATATATATCTTACAAGGAAAGTTTCACAACTGTCCGAAACCGATTTAATTCTTCATAAAATATATTATTAAACACGAAAATTTAAGGGACGCTTATTTTTTTATATGTGCCCTAACTCATGTTTAAGGAGTGAAACATTTTTCTTTCGAGAGGCGAATATCGTCAGAAGTATAAAAGATGTAAAAAATTTTTTTAAACAAAAGTACAAAAGAATACTCTTGAAACCGTACAACTTTTCGTGGTGAATCAAATCGGTTCCGGACAGTTGTGAAATTTCCCTTGTTAGATTTTTTTTTAATATAATTTAAATAAACCTAACAAAATAGAGACTATATTAATCTTTATTTTATGTGTAATTTTATTTTACATTAATGAACATTTTATCATTTAATGATTTGAGTGCTCATAAATACCTGTTTATGTATAAGAATATTTTACAGATTCAAATTAAAATTTAAGTTATTACAAATTTTCTATCGTCCAACGGACGATTTTAGTTCCGGAAATTTAATCATTAGTAATCGAAAGACTATTGGTTCAGACAGTTTTAAGAGATTTCAATGTAAACTAGAAAATTCTCTCCTGATTAGGAGAGGGGAAAAAGAAAGTGTAGAAAGAGTATAAGGGTAGATATTTATAAAAGATAGAATCAGGGAATGTGTGCTAAGAAAATTTTGGAGAGAAGTTATAATATGTTCATAAAACACTTACGAATATCGAAATATATAATTTCTTATATTAGAGGACAAGAAGTTATAAAGCTAAATTATTGTATTAACAAGTTTATGTGTAAAAATCGAATTTGAATGTAAAAAGATATTAAGGTTAATATACAGCAAATCCTTTTATAACGAAATCTAGAAAACAACAAAGAATAGAGGAAGAAAAGGTAAATTTTTTTTATTAGAATTTTAATTTACATAATGCAATTACAAAAAGAAATATTCAATCTAAATCGGAATAAATAATTATCTTTCCTCAATTCGTTTTTCGTTGAAGGACATTGACTCTGAGTTGGCTAGAAGAAATGTCTCATTAAAAGCATTGATTCGATATATTATCTTCTACATGTATTGTAATTATCTACGCATTAAAAAAATGTCATTCGTGTATCAGTATAATAGACGAATCAGCTACGACATTGGTCGAATCCTAATCATGTATTTTCCTTATCAGACTGTCAATAGAATCCAGTTTCTATCTGCTTACCGTTTTCATTAACGCTTAACCTCTTTTGTTAAATAAATTTAATTAATATTTGGTTAAAAAAAGCTAATCCCAGAATATCGAAATTCTCTAAATAATGAAACGGTGGCTACGGATAATTATTTTTTCGGAAAAGATTGGATGATATAAAAAAGGTCTGTACCTCATTTTTAACTTGCAATTGTAAGCACACAACTTGAATGATGTATATACTAAGATTATAAGTATTATAATTATTGATGCTTGTATATGTGAACAAAGCTTATATTTTTTATTAAATAAATTAGAAGACATAACCTCTAAAACGAACAAGTGTTTTTATTTATAATCTATAAATAATTTCGAGAGTGTTAGAAGATGATTTTAAAAAAATCATTTTATTTGTTTTTATGCTTAGTATAATAATATGGTAATAATTTTAATATCACTCTCATAAAATTTATATATATATTTTTTCTAAATTTATATAAAAATATGTATCAAAATATTTTCAAGTGTTCATCATTTTTTTAATACTATCAAATTTATATGATCTTAATCAGAAACAGAAAAAACATTTAGAAATAATTATATAACAAGTGTATATATATATAAAATATTTAGATATATATATATTTCTTGTTTTATTTTTTTATTATATAATTTTAATATTAATTTGTTTAAGACTTCTTATCTTATATTTTGAGAAATAACTGAATATATATAATCTATAAAGTATCATCAATTTAAAAAAAAGACATAATGTTATATACATATGAATAATTCATCTCATTTGTTAATATTTTAAGTAACGGTAATAATAATATTATCAATTTTGTTTAATAGGCATAGTAAAAATGGATGTTATAAGAAGATTGATAATTTTGTGCATGTTGACAGCTGTTCTGCCATTCATACTTATAATAATTCCTTTATGTTTACGGCATATTTTTTATGCTGATGTTGCATATGCTGTAACAGAATCTGATATTATAGAAATTAACGATGGGATCTCAACAATATTTTGTTCGGTAAGAAAAGAAAATTAAATATTTAATGTCATCACATTTCTTTAAAATTGTGCAAGTATATAGTTACTTAAATATTAATATAGATAAAAAAATTAATCTAAAATTTTATTATATATCTATATATTATATATAACAAGAAAGCATCTCATTTATATTTGTTATTAAAGAACATATGTCCTTTTAATCTAGTATTTAATCTTTGCTTAATCTGGTATTTTGTTGTCATGTTTCACAAACAAATTTTAAATTAATTTAAAGAATGTCTTTTAATAGGAACATACTTTAAAAATGAATGGCACTTTTAATGCTTTCCAAATGACTCATCGACCAGAGATAGCGTCAAAACGAAAACACATAAGACTTAAAAAGAGCATGAATTTACCAGATGATACATTGGAATACTGGGGATTTTATTTATTAAAAAATGCAACTGTAGCGCTTTCTGTGTGTTCAAGGTAAAGAAAATTGAACGAAATATATTTTTTTTATGATTAGAGACAATCTACCAATGTAAGTTTTCGAATTTTATTTATTTATAGGATATTACATATATAAAAGAAAAATATTTTCAGATTCGAAGGAGCTTCTATATTGGTAGTGAAAGGAGAGAAAAATCTACGTACTTGTGGGCTGTTAGAACACAATATTAATAAGCAATCGCAAGAAATTTTCTTTCCAGATGCAAACAAACAAGTTAAAATAATATATGAATCAAATGCACAAGAAATTGATTCTAAAGAAACAACCACAATTGAACTTACTAAACCTACACATAATATCAATGAAGTAGATAAACCAGCTATAAATATGAGTTCTGAAAATGCTTTAGAAAGAATTTCCGAAACAAATCTAGAAAATGGCACGCGGGCATATATTGCGGATGAAAAATTGATGAAGAGTTTAGAACATTTAGAGACATTGTATCATACTGCAACGTCTTATCTTGATAAATATATAGGTGATAAACAAAAAAGTGTGAATAATAACATTAGAAAATGGAGACATACTAAACGTCATATGTCGAATATAAATAAAAATAAAATAATAAAGCAAAGAGGAAAAGGAGTCTATAATTACAATAAAAAAATGCGTATACAAAAATTACAAGAAACATTGAATTCATATATAATCAATGATAGAAAGGAACAAGAAACAAAGGAGAGAGATGAAATGGATACCAAAAGATTTAAAAGAAGTAGAGAACTCTTAAAGCCACCATCCTTACTAGATCAAGGCATTAAGCATGGTGGAAATGCCGACAAAAATTATACATCTGATTCTAGCGAAGAGTCGTCTATTTCCAGTTTTGAAACTGGTTTATTAAATTGTTACAATGGTGAAATATTGTTAGCTCATGAATTTCAACCTTCAGATCAATGTACTAATATTTCCTATTTGCTTAATAGTAAACACATACAGGCAAATCACCATGTGGGACAAGATGGTTATTATTATTATATTTTTTATAGTGATAACGATATTGTGTCCAATGATATTTATGCGATTTTTGATATATATAAACCGACTTTTCAATATGAAAATGTGACTAAATCGTGTATTAATCAAACTGAATGCTCATTTCGTATAAACCTGCTGTCAGCGGATAGGGTAATTGTCGAAATACCAACTAAGGACGGTATAGAGCATAATGAGATGGACGACGCTGGCATACTAATTTCTATTTGTCAGCCACGAATGGGCGCGTATATGATTTTTCCAATTGCGATATTGCTCTTAATTCTTGGTTGTGCTTTTATATAATTAAATCGATTACTTAGAAATATCTGCAGACATAAGTACATACAACTTTGTGAAATTGTTGTTTCACACATCATAATATAAATCATTTAAATACAAATTTACATGAAGCTATGAATTGATTAAAAATTCAATATAAATTACAGACGAAAGAAATTATGCATATCAATAGAAGTAACAAATAGTTTACTTAAAATATAAGGTGTGCACTGATTTAAAAAATGTAATTTCATTATTCATTTTCTTAGTATACTTTTCCTATAATAAATTATTTTGATAAATACATGTATAGATATAAAAATTCTATATAATGTATGTATAAAGTACAAAAAAAATTTTGTAAATGTACGCATACGAATGTTTCAAGATTAACAAATATCCTTTTTTTCTACAAATTATTGATCCATTTACAGAATTAATTTTGTTTCAATAAAAATGTCAATTATATTTATAGTTTCGGAATAATACTTTTAAGGCTTCCACGAGTATTTTCTACATAGAAGCTACAATGTTTTTTGCGAATTAATTTTCGAATAGTAAAAAAAAACTATGAAAAACCATTAATGAAATTATATTTTTCAATTAACTCTTCAAGTTATTTTTTATTTTAATTTTTTTATCTACAGTTTTAATGTGAAGTTCAATCAAATTTCTTTAATATTTTTTTTATAAAAAATTGTTTCTAAATTAGGCAAAGAAGCTCTAATGGTCATATTTAAATAGACATTCCATAATTTTAGAACATAATACTCTGAGATTTAAATGTGCGCATTCGAAACCTAAATTAATTAGTAAAGGGCAGCTGAATGAAGATTGTGATCTAACCCAGACAACAGTATCTAAAATCGGATCATAAGACGTTTTTTGCGTTTAAAGACGACTTAAAGACGTCTTGTGTCACAATTTTAGACTTTGTGTTGCTTGGATAAGTTTGTATGTATGGCACAAAATAAACGTTTGTATTGTTATAGAGACTTACATGTATTAATTATAAGATAATAAAATCATATATTTTTTAACGACTATAATTATGATTACAATGTAATCTATATTAACGCATTATTTAATTATAATTTTGTGTGCTGTGCCAGTCGTTCATATTTCCCGCGATAAGATCCCACCACGACGATTTCGGGGCGCTATAAAGCACCAGAATAGCAACGTCATTTCCGTCATGCGCGGTAACCATCGGCAAGTGGAATTAACTTTAAAATCATTTACATTTGCGAGAAAAATTCTGATTCGATTGTCACGATTCGTTAAGGTGCAACCGAGCCAATCGACGTACTAGTTTCGGCGTCGATACGAAGCTAACGCGTCCACCGAAAAATCGTCGCACCAGTGCTTTCTGGTGCTTTCCGAATTCCGGTGCACCGTGCGCAGCGCCATAGTGGTAGAATCCAGAATACTCCTCGTGACGCCACTCGATCTCTTCCTTTCTGTCGAACTCTCGCGAGTTGAACATGTCGCATACTGCAGAACGAAGGTAAGTTGGACGTTTTTCCAGCGTAATGGCGTACCTCGCTCGCGTTCTGGCGGCGCGTCGTGATTACCGTGATGCTGACACCGTCGTGGACCGCGCGCGTCGCGAAATTCGCGCGTACGTGGGTTAAAATACGTCCACGAAGAACAGTGTACCGCAATCGGACGGATGCACGGGGGACACGAGACTGACAACATGGCGTGCATTCGTTTTTGTCACATTGCCCTCGCCGCGACTAACAGCCACGATCCACGCCGTCCACGTCGATCCGCCGCTTAACCTCCTCGTCGCGATACCGCGACGGAGGACCGCGTGGCACGATAGGAGCGAGCGAGCACGGCGACCCAACGGCATGCATGCGCCCCGACGCCGTTAGCGTGGGTGAAGCGCTCTCTTTCCCGTCCGCTCCGTGTGTGCGAGCTCGACGAGCGAGCACGTTTTCTCCGATCCGGCCGCGTAATTACGTAATGAAAATATCGCTTTTTCGCACGATTTCTGTGTCGGGAAGACGAAAAAAAAAAAAATCAATCGCGCTGACCCGCCACCCGAGGCTCCTCTCGCATTGCTGGACGCATAGTCATCGTCGCACGCTCCCCTTGGCCTCGGCGGAACAACACGTATCGCGTCTGGAGTACGCTTCCGCGTGAGTCACTGTCAGAGCGATTAGCGCGACGAGCGACGATTCTCGTGCCGCCTCCACGCGGGCTCGATTCCGCCGACTTGCTCGTACCTTGCGAAACGTAAAAATGGCCATCGAACCGTATAGTTCTCGACGGACGATGTATTTCATGGGATCGAATTATAAGTTCGGTTTTCAAGGTCACGTGGATTTAAAGTGATTTGTCATCGCCTGATCGCCGTGACCGATATTATCGATTTTGGATGAATTTTAAATACTGATGCGTGCACCTTTATTAAGATCTTTATAAATTTCTTACGTAAAGTTCGATTATTTATTACTGACATAAAGAAATGCAATACAGTTTTGTTTCTTTTAAGTTTTGCACTACAGAGAAATTTAATCCCTTTAAATTTGGACTCCTCTTTGTCAAAAATGTATTCTTTGTATCAGAAATTAATGTACAAGTATTGCAATAAAATAAAATTAAAATCTTTTGTATTTTGTAAATATACATTAAGTATATATTTTACAATTTATTTATAATGTAAAAAACTTACTAGCTATCTTATAAAAGTATGTGATTCATGATTTAACGTTTAATATTATTAATCTTATCTATATTCTTATTATTTGTTCTAATATATTCTATCTATCATTTCAGAAATGATGATCAATGGCCGGGGGACTCAAAAAATGGTCCTAGTGAAAGTGAACAACCCACATACGATGGACCTCCTGGAATGGATCCCGATGGCGTCATCGAATCCAACTGGGACGTTGTAAGTGACTATTGCATTCTCTGAATATGATAAGATTTGGCTTTCTTTTATCTATTGGAAGATGTATTGTTTATACTTTGATATTCTACATTAGTACAAATTAATACATTATTAGTATATATTATAATTTCTATACTTAACGTACATGTATTTAAAATAGCACATTTATAATGTACATATTTATGCACTCTTGTCAATTATTAAGAACATTAACATAACTGATGAAAATATATATATATACATACATACATACACATTTCTTAATACTTATAAAAATTGTCTAGACTAATTTACCTACTATACCCACGCCTATAATTAAAGAAAAAATACTTTCAAGAATATTATGAAGATTTTATGTAACGTAATGTAAAATTATTAGATTATTTTTAAAATAATCTTTGAGATCCAAACATGTTGGTTATTTATTTTGAAGTAAAAGAACATCTCATGTATACAAAAAAATCAAAATATTAAAGATGTATGTTTTAGATTTTTAATAGTTAATCTGTTTCAAATTAAGAATATTCTAGTGTTGTCCTCTGTGAATAACTTGCGAATAATTTGAATTGATTAAGAAAAACTGTAGATAAAATTAAGAGAACCAATTATTTATTATTTCTACTGTAAAAAAACTGTTTAAAATAATTATGTTCTATTGTGATTTTTTATTTCAAATTAATTATATTATTAAAAATTGTCTAATTATATATGTATATTTTTTTTTTTTTTAAATTTAACACTTAAAATATTTTAATCCTTATATATTGTAATTTTTAATTCTCAATCTGCAGTCTTATATTTACTCTTTTCGTCTGCAAAATCTGGATCTTTTTGTCCAGCCCAAGTTTTTTTTACTGTTCTAGGTTTTTAAAAAATATAGAAAAATTCAGTGTTACTTTTTAATATCTCTTTTATATCACCAAATTATTTAACTCAAATATTAAAACCTTTATTTAATAAAAATTGAAATTTGAGCAAAAATGAGGAAAGAGTAAAAAAAAGACTCAGATTGCAGAGGAGAATTAAAAGTATTAAATTTAATTATTTTCATTGATATATATATGTATATAGATATATAATATACTTACATATTATATGTATAATGTATAATATTGATAAATTTGGTAAATACTTCTAAAATAGTATATTATGAGGATAATAAACTTAAAATAACAATAAAAAAATATTAAAGTGATATATTTTACTGATATATTTAATCTAAACAGGTTGTGGAGAACTTTGACGAAATGAACTTGAAAGAAGAACTGTTACGTGGTATTTACGCTTATGGTTTTGAAAAACCATCTGCAATTCAACAACGTGCCATCCTACCATGTATACGGGGGCTCGATGTTATTGCTCAGGCCCAGTCTGGTAAGAAATTTTGATCTAGAGCAGATATTGAGAGAGCGAGAGAGAGCGAGAGAGAGAGAGAGAGAGAGAGAGAGAGAGAGAGAGAGAGAGAACAATATTATCTTGTAAATATAATGTGTAAAATATTATTGTATATTATATCAATGAATGTTTCTAACTATCAGGTACTGGAAAAACTGCTACGTTCTCCATATCGATTCTTCAACAAATCGACACTAGTATTAAAGAATGCCAGGCCTTGATCCTTGCACCAACCCGTGAATTAGCTCAGCAAGTAAGTAGAGCTCATTAGAAATATTTATTTTAATAAAAAATTGTATTTAATAGAAAAGATGTTAAATTTTAATAACATTCTGTATTTTTACTTAGATCCAGAAAGTCGTTATCGCTCTAGGAGATTTTATGCATGCGGAATGTCATGCATGCATTGGTGGCACCAACGTTCGTGAAGATATGCGAAAATTGGATCAGGGTGTTCACGTGGTTGTCGGTACGCCCGGTAGAGTTTACGATATGATCAGCCGACGAGCACTTCGAGCAAGTAGCATCAAACTGTTCGTGCTGGATGAAGCCGATGAAATGCTTTCTCGAGGATTTAAGGATCAAATCCACGATGTATTCAAATTATTACCTAATGAAGTGCAGGTAAATATAAAAAATATTTTCGAGGAATGTAGATTTTTTATTACAATTATCTAATAGATAATTTTATTTTAATTGTTAGAAAGTATCTTTTTTGGACAAGTCCACAAATCATACAAGACGAAAAAGTTGCAGTGTACCTTATAATAGTCAAGTTAACAAATATATTATAAAATACAGGTGCGTCGTAATAGTGTCATTTCTTGACAGATGTACACTGGATTGACATATGCTCTGT